GATCCCAGGAGATGACTGATGGGCACACAAATCACCAAGAAGCACAAAGTCTGAGCGAGTCTCTTTTACCGCATTCAAAATAACTGACCAGACCCAGACATCTTCTCATGTTTAAAGAAACTTTGAAGGGTCAACACTTTCCAAGAACCAGACGAACAGAAGCCCTCACAAGGGCCTCAGAAAACTCCCGTTACACACGGAAATGTTTTGGGGACAGAACTATTCTGCAAATCGCTACTTCTAGAGCCCAGAGGAGAGCCACAGCGAGAGTCCCATGACGGTGTGGCACAGGAACAGTAAAATGCTCACTGGCTTCCAAACCCAGCCTGCTGTTTTGATGATGGAAAACCTATCCCAAACCCACAGGCTCTTGTATTTTCTCTCCTCCTTCTCTCAGTCGGGGTCAAGGACTGCAAGTCCTGCAGAGGAAGAACCGGATAATCGGATAATCGGTCCTGGCCCTGACTCTGACTCAGCAACTTCCTCAGGACACTGCCCAGCCCCTCCCACCTCCTCAGGACAGACCTCAACCACAAGACCCACTTCCAGGATGGGCTGCAGGGGCCAGGGGGAAGGAGAAGTGCCAGAGAATGCTGAGGCTGATGGTTTGAGAGCCTGAGTCAGCATCTTCAGGAGCACAGTGCTTAGGAAATAGGCTTTGTCTCCCATGAAAACCCCAAGCGGAGCAGTAACCCCCAAGAAACCAGTGTGTGCAACTCCAGAGCGGAAGCTCAGGCTGGCCAGGGTAGCCAGAGCTGGAGGAAGGAACTGTTCACCACTGCTCAGCAGTGTCCAGAAAGAGCCAGATGGTCTGAGAGACAAGAAGCATGAGGTACTCCTCCCCGCAGGAGCGTGGGCCACTGAGCTCCCTGTCTAGAACCACGCTTGCTTTCAACTCACCTTAAATGCACAAACCCAACAATGGCCTTAGTGCAGACACCCCCTTCTCCAGGAAGACCTGGAGAGCTTCCACATTTCAACTAGTGTGGCTTTTCAAGTGAAGAGATGGACGGTCTAGCTGAATGTACAATAAGAGTCAAGAATGTTCTGATCAGCAATTAACTAAAGTAATTCGAGTTCTTCTCCAGAGGAAAGGGAGACTGAATGACCACACATGAAATCAGATGCAGACGCGGATACTAACAAGGAAAAGTTGGGAAGGAAAGAAAATCCCCCTTGGAGAGATGAACGCACGGATGATTTTAACGTTGCTTTCCGTCAGTCAGGACATTCTAGATTTAAGAAAAAAATCCTCGGTTCTCTTGAAAAGCAGTTCTCTTGACAACACAGAGGGTAGGTAGGTTGGGGAGGAGTGCATGTGAACTAGTGAGGGAGAAAAAGCCCCCTTGATTGGTTCACCAGACGGTCCCTATCCTGTGACCACAGAGAGCGACGGCACAACCTGACCCCACCTCCATCAACTTCCCATTTCCCAAGAGTTCTTTAAGGACCAAGCGTAACTTTTGTATGCTGGGGGACACCCCACCTTAGGAAGTCAGTGAGCTGCTGTGCTGTTCACCTGAGAGCTTCAGATCTTGGCACCCCCTGGTCTCTGCATCCACAGCCCATGAGAGCCTGGGGATCACAGGGTTAGATGGGTGTAGGCATCTTTCAGATACACACTTCAGCAGAACTCTACAGTGTAAGATAGTAACTCAGAACTATGGATTCTGGTGGTTGGATAAACAAGGGAGCTCATTCCCTTGTTAAGCTTTCCCTTCAGAGGTCTCTTACACATTGCGGACCAACTGCCCCATGCCTGCCGGGCTCTGAGCTCACTCGGGCTTCTTGTTTATGTCTTTTCCTTCCATTCTCAAAGTAAGGCAGAAGCAAGCAATGTTGGGTCACTTTTAGAGATGGGAAAACCTAATGTCCAAGACAAGTGAAGCTCTGTCTACCACACTGTGCAGATGGATTTGCATGGGCAAATCTACTCCAGGGAACGCAGGCTGAGCAGCATTCTGGAGCAAAACCATTCCCAGCGGTTATATCTGACTCCAGAGCTAAGCGGAGGGGGAAACTCCATCCCACCATGTGGAGTTTTTTAAAACACAGCCCAAAGACCCACAGGCTAAGCCTGGTACTGCCAGCTCCCAGGGCACGGCTCTGACCCATATGGGAGCCAGTGTGCTCCTTTTGTGCCAGGCTTGTGCTAAGTACTTCATTCAGTCTCGTTTCTCACAACTCCACACCTGCCACTCCTGAGCCCGCTTTAATCTGCAAACCAGAACCATCTAGCTAACACCAATGTGTCATCACGCTGATGGTGGGAGAGTTGGCACATGGGTTCCGATCTTTTCCCGTGCCTTCATCCACGACACTCCTATATCCTGCACTTCACAAACCAATTTTGAACATTTCAGTCCCACCACCCTCAAGGTGTGCTCAAACCTGTCTCATAGGAGCTCTGTTTATAGGAAGCCCCCTCTCCTCTTAACATCTACACACTTGTGCTTTCCATGGGTAACATCCCATAATACTACACCATCACATGTGCCTGACCTGTTTCACCTCTCCCCTACCTCACGCTCTACCTTCATGGCCAATCCCCACCCATCAGGTGCCCTATGCAGGCGAGCCCTGCCAGAACGGACCCACGGCAGACCCCCTCAGACTTGATGTTATATTCCACATGTGGGCATCCACCATGCGCCAGTGGCAGGCTTATCCCCGGTCTCCTCCCAGGCCAGCCAGAGGCGTGACCATTTCTACCACCATCCTGAAAAGGGCAGGGTTGGGTCTGGCTCAGAACAAATGTAAGGGGGCAGAGGCCTACCTGAGCATAGGACGCCCTTGTTTCTGGCACAGGAAAAGCTGTCACACTCGCAGAAGGGCCCGTAGATCCTCCCGAACTCACTCTCGAAGCAGGAGCACTGGTTGCAGCTGCACTCCCCGCGTCCGCTGCACAGAGGCTTGCCTTCCGCCTCTCGGCACAGGTTCTGGTACCCGCTCTGGTTCTCTCCCTCCTGGCACTCACATCTGGTGCCCAGGTAACTGGGGTCACATTCGCACAGCCCACAGACATATGTTCCGTTCCCACTGCATCTGGCACTGTTGGCCTCCTGTCCTGTGCTACAGCCACACGTGCAGTTGTAGGTGACTTCCACCTGCAGACTGTCCCGGAACCCTACAGGCCGCAGGGTGAAAGCTTGGGCTGTGTGTCTGCCTGGGCAGCTCCGAGCCTCCACGGAAACTTCAAAGGATGCCTGGGTAGAAGGAGAGGAGACATCATAGCCATAGCAAACCAGGGCTCCTGTTCCCCCCTCCCCTGCAGGGGGCATGGCCACATACACCCCTAATGAGATCTACCCTGCCTAGCACACAGGTGGAACCCTGGTAGGAAGAGACAGCAGGTTGACAATCGCAGGTATCTTATGGACAAGAGGAGTTGATTACGCTAATATTCAACAGGAATTGGGCATTCTCATCACCTTTAAGAATTAAGGTCTATTCTCATCACCTTTAAGACCCCAAGGCTCTGAAGAAATACACAAGGAGTAAGATGTGCATGGCTCTGGCTCTCCCCTTTATCACCCATCCCGTCCTCATGCTTTTCCCACTGCTGTACACATCTCTTCTCCCATCCATTCAACCAGCTTCTAATGTATGCAGTGGGCTAGATGCTGGGGGATGGTGGTGCCCCCTGGCAGGAGCTGCAGGGCAGAGAACAGTCACCTGACCCCCTCTCTGTTGGAGAAGAGACGGGATGTCACACCAGTTCCCTGCAAGCACGGTTCTTACAGCTGTATCCTGTCCCATCAGCCCACCGTCCCGAGGCTGTAAAGGACACTCACCGCCTGAGTAGCTATCACACACAGGGACACTAAAAAAATGAAACATTTGGGGAGGAGCTTCTCAAAGGCTGCCTTGACCCGAGAGCAAGCTGGACCTAGCAGGGTGACAGGAGCCTGCCTGTCAGCTGCTCACAGTCTGGAGGGGAAGGGAGGCTGGTAGAGGCTTGCTTTGAGCCTTCCAGGAATTAGACCACGACACCATACCTAGTCAGAGGCAGGAGCTATGTGGGGATAGAATCTCCTGTTTTATTTCAGACCAAGCCCTGATGACTCCACAGAAATGAGGACGAGCGGTGAAGGAACCTCACCGAGATGCACTCCTCTGGAAGAGGGGACCCCGTCTCAAGCAGGCATGCCTGGCCACTCCTTCAAGCGGACCTTTCTATCTGGGCTGGTGTCTTTATTTCCTGGGACTCGTCATCAATAGCCTGCTTTGGTGGGCAACTGCGATAATGGTCATTTGTGAGCACTGGATTTCTTTCTAAGCATTATTTCCTAAAGATCTCTTCCCAGATTCTCTGGCATCTGGGGACATTCAGGGCAGCGATACTGAGCAAGACAGGCCTGAGTCAGGCTTCCCAGCAAACCACAGCCCCAGAGGTCTTGACAACAACCACCCAGGTCTCAGCATCCATCATGATACTTAACAGAGGGTACTTTAACACGGGTGAGCTGAGGAAAATGTCCAGGAAAGACAGAAGAAGGACCACACTAGCTGCAGACAAGGCTAACCCCATTACATCCATTATCCTTATGGAGGGTAGGGAGAATGAAGAAAAGGGAAGTGACTGACAAGATCAAATCTGAGTTCCAAAGTCCAGGGTCGCTCAGGAAAGGAAACAAGATGGGGGAGCTACACAGCATTGAAATCTGTTCGTGACAACGCATTGATACACATGAGCGTTCCCACAAGCATCCTTTTCATACAACCCAGAAGCAGCTGTCTTCCCTTCAAGGGAGTCAATGAGGCCGGAGGGATTGTCTGGTTACATAGCCAACTGGGATGGTGCTCACCTAAAACAGGCCTGAATTCTCTAGCCTATTATCTCCTAGAACGGGCAATGGGGTGGACGCTTATGCAATGATCCGGGTAGAGAGAATGGCTGCCTGGCTCAAGGCAAAGACAGCATGATGGTGACCCCAGAGTGATTGTCACAGGCTTCTCCAAAGCTTTCTCTCTTGAGCTGGGAATGTGCTAAGCTTGCACACAGGCAGGGATTGGGGGCTGAGTCTGAGTAAAGTTATCCATGGGGCCATGAAGAAGGAAGGGAAGCGGAGACTCTGGGAGGCTGACATCATCCCTTCCCCGTCATTTGCATGAGGCTGCTACTTCCTGCCACTTTCTGTGCCTGGTGAATGAAGAGATCAGGAATTCAATAGACTGCAAAGAACGGCCTGCAGCAAGGGCCAAGGGCACTTGCTATTGACTCTGTGAACACAACCTTCCCCATGAAGACCCACCTTCACAAAGCAAGAAAGAAAGGAAGTAAGGGGGGAGTAGAGGGAGAGAGAGGGAGGGAGGGAGAGGGAGGAAGGGAGGGAGGGAGGGAGAGGAAGGGAGGGAGGCAGACTCTTTAGTCTTGCCCACATGTGCCGGGTTAAGTAGAAGCGTTGGGAGCCTGTGAGTTGGAGCCAGGACATGGAAACTCGCACTGTCTGCCTGGCTGGGAAGTCAAGAGAGCTTGGCTCCCCAGCAGAGTTTCAGGGCCTCCTCGGTCAAGGCTTCTGTCCAGAGGTCTATCTGTCTGGCCTGGAGCCTGCTGTCTGATAACTGGAGAGAAGCCTTGTCTGTCTCAGTCTTGGCTCCTGCTAGACACAGAAATGCTATAAAAAGCACAGTCAGAACAGCAAACAGGTCTGCTTTGCTCTCCCATCCTTACAGTTCAGTTTCCTTACTGGATTAGCAAACCCTGAGAGGCTAGAAGGTACTGGAATACAATTCCTTGGCTCCCCTTTCCTTGGTAACTAAGGTTTAGGGCCAAGCATGATACTGAGGGCTCCACAGGTCTTGACTAAGTCTAGACGAAGGTCACAGATGCAGTTAGCCATTCTGGCCGGACTGGTGACTTAACCTCATTGGGATGGTTCTGGCTCTCCAATGGGGGAGCCTACCCTCTCAAAAGTGTTGCCCAAACCCTATACAGAACCCCTAACCCCAGGGTTCTGCAGAAAGCGAAGTCCACTCAGATCTTAATAAAATAAAAAGCAGAGGTGGGCCCCAAGTACGGGGCCGCTAGGAGTGGACAAGAGCAGAGGGATACGTTGTGTGAAGGCCGTGACAGCGGTGCACTGGGCCAAGTGCGGGGTGCTAAAGCAAGCTGCCACCTGCATACTGATTTGTCACAGCTAGTTCCTAAGAACGCCAGCTCCCAGGGTGTAGGTCAACCCAGTCAGGCTTATCGGTGAATGGAGAGGGACCACCTCAAAACTTAGGCAAGGAACCCAAAAAAAACCAAATTAATTAATCAATCAATTAATTAAGTGTATAAATGTATGTCTGTGTGTGCATACATGTGAGGCAGGTTCCCTCAGAGTCCAAAAGATGATACTGGATCCCTGGGAGCAGGAACAATGTGTAGTTGTAAGTCAACCAATGGGTCCTCTATAAGAGCAATATGGAGCAATATGCACTTTTAGCCTTAGCGCATCTCTTTAGCCCCTTAAAACTCCTTTATTTATTTATTGATTGATTGATTGATTTTTTTTTTAAGACAGGCCTTCTTTATGTAACAGTTCTAGCTGTCCTGGAACTCAGAGATCCACCCGCCTCTGCCTCCTGAATGCTAGGGTCAAAGGTGTGCGCCACCATACCCGGCTGCCCTGTAGAATTCTCAATCCTCAGACCTCACTTTTCACTGCTCCAGATTCACACAGTGCAGAAAGCCCTTCCCTCAGGATCTGCATGACCCTGGTGGACAAGCGACACACCCAGCTCAGGAAAAGAGCGGCTCTGCAGCCATCTATACCCAGACAACAAAACCCACACAGCTCTTGCCAGAGGGGCCATGTGACTGTGGCCCTTGGACACGGAGACAATACCGGGACAGAGAGAAGACAAAGGGCCAGCGGAGGCTTGCCTGAGGACCGGCTGCTATTGCCATAGGGCTGTGGCCACTGGATCCCAAAGAGAAATGGGCCAAAGGCAACTGGATTGGTGAAAACACCGTCTTTATCATTGTTTCAATGCTCTGAAAAGTCATCCCATCACGACAGAGATTTCTCAGTGCGGAGGAAAATTTCCATTTGAAATCCTTTTTTTCTGCTTACCAGACATTTGATTTCCTGAGCCCTCCCAGCCAAACAAATGAGAACTGCGCACAGTGGGTTGGAGGACGGTGGCCATGATCTCACCCAAGTCTCTGAAGCTTTCACTCCACTGTGCCTGAGGCCTAAGGAGAAGGCCTGGGCTGTAGCATCGTTAGTGATTTGGGTCCTGTTGCCTGCTGCTCACTGGTAGTGAGACCTGGGGCCAGTTTTGCAGGCTCCTCTTTGAGCCTCAGATTTTCACACGTTAACATGGAGCACGCTAGTTAGCTGAAAAGCTACTGTAAGACACAGAAATGAGGGCTGGCTAGTGGCTCAGTGGGTAAAGGCACTTGCTGCTCAACCTGAGGACCTGAGTTCCATTCCTGAGCCCCACACAGTGGAAGAGAACCCTCTCTTGCAATTTGTCTTCTGACTCCCACATGCAACATATATAAAAGAAATCAATGTTGAAAAAGAAAAGAGGAGTTGGCAGCAAAGCCCGACTGGGCACACTGTAAGTTCCCATGGACAGGCAGCTAACATGGCTCCCTGTGCCAGGGAGGCTGTGGTCGGTAAGCGGACTTGGTCTAGATGGAAACAGCTCAGTCTGGGTTGGGAGGCCACAGCTTACAGGGAGCTCTGTGAGCTTGGGCAGTTCACTCTCCTCGAGTCTCAGGCTGCCCATCAGGATTAAGGTTTTCTGTGCCCACCAATGCTGATGGCTATCAGAGCTGGATATGACAGGGACGGAGAGGGCACTGCTCCCTGGTGAAGGTTCTGGTCCATCACCACACTCCATCCCCTGAAATGCATATGGCAGAACGGGCCACTGTGTAAGGTGGTGTGGGGTGCGGGCTACAGAACAGAAAGCCTCAGCTTCGCGCTTTCAGTTCACCAATTCTATAGGTTAGATTCCCTAATCTGTCACAAGGGTAGCAATGTCTTCCTCACAGGAAGCTAAGAGGGGAACACAGAAATGTGCACTGTCCAGTCTGTTTCATGCCCATCGTGGGATGAAATGTGTTTTCTCTGTATTCCACGAGGGACCTCAAATGGACGATCCTTGCGATTTCCCTATGTTTGTTTAAGGTGGGATGAAGGGACTTCAGATCCATTCTGACTCATGATGGCATTGCCCGCAAGCACAATTTTGCGATCTGCTTTTAGCCAATTCTTAGTGCCATCTGCTTGTCACTTTCCCTTCTAAAAAGATCCCGCCCTAAAACCACAAGCCATATGACCAGGAGAGTGCCACCGTTATCTCGGGCATCTCGGGTTCCAAAGATTTTCTATTAGCACAGCCCCAACTGGGACACTAGTAACATCTTTATAACACGTTTCTTTATCTTGGTAAGGGTCTGATGGGGGAGCACACGTGGCCTGGCACATATGTGTAGATCAGAACACAATTTGCAGAGTGGGTTGTCTCCTTCCTCCACGTGAGTCCCAGGGACAGAATCCATGTGGTTCAGCAGGCCCGGCAACAAGCGCTTTGACCCTCTTGAGCCATCTCACTGGCTCTTAGCAAGCCGTTTGTTTGTTTTTTAGACAGAATCTCACTACGTAGCCCAGATTAGCGCAGAACTCACGATGCACGTGAGATCCTATCTTAAAAAACAAACAAAACAAAAAACACTACCAGACTGCATTCCCTCCGTCCTATTAAACCTCTAAACTAAATATAAGATGCTAATTATAGTTAACTAATTAATCATAACTTAGTTTTTAAAACAATTTTTAAATCTTAGTTTTCCTGCTTTATAAGAGAAACTGTTTGCCCCAGCTCTGTGACCTTGGCACATTTGATGAGCAGGTCTGACAAGAGTAAGCATGCTTCCTCAGCGACAGATCTGCCTGCCTGCTGACGCCCAGTGGCGCTGCACCACACATCTCATGCAGAGATCTACAGAATTCACCCCCACATTGTTTTTCCACTGACGGCTGCCCACCACCCGCCCTCTTCAGAAAGGCCTGCTTTGTTGTCCTTACATTTACTTGCCATTTAATTTGGGCACGGGGTATGTATGCCACGGTACACGTGTGGCAGTCTGAGGACAACTTGTGGGAGCCAGTTCTCTCCTTCCACTATGTGGGTTCCAGGGATCAAAGTCGGGTCATCACCAGACTTGGCAGCAAGCCTGCGACATTTCACCAGCCCCAACTGCTGTCTCTTTAAACCCCATGAGTTCAACAAGACTTTTGTTTTTTTCTTAATTCACCTTGACTAAGAAATTACTATCATCTACCTAAACAATACAAATATAACTTTTGACATTATTCAAGTTTTATTTAAAAGAGTCTCTTCAATGGTTGAAGAAACACTTGATACATCTTTATACTGACATTATTTATTGCTGAAGGTAGGGTTATCGCCATTTCTATTTGGTCCATAGAAACTTAAGTGCCCTATTTGCATGAACAGGAAGATGGAGTGGGCATTAGTCTGTTCTTTATTGCCCCCTGAGTTAACTGTCATAAATAATCATTTGTAACGATGCTCCTGACAAGTTGACCTTTTCAAGTTGGTAAAAGTGAAATGTATTTGGAAAATCTGTCTGGGAGAAGGATTTGCTTCCTTATTATTAGTCTCACCTTCCAGACTATATTTTGAACTGCCTCCTTTGGTGGTCAGACACCACTGTAGTAGGGTTGGGAAAAGGTGGGACATTTCCCTGTGTGGTCCTAAGTGGGTGAAGGGCCACCACCGTGGAAAATAGGGAGGAAGAGAGAAGTGTTGCAGAATATATGTTTAAACTAATCAAGGTGTGCTGCATTTGTTTAATTATGTAAAGATGTGTTGCTGTGTTACCTTGCCTACCTAAGGCACCTGATTGGTCTAATGAAAAGCTGAATGGCCAATAATGAGGGAGGAGGTATAGGTGGGACTTCTAGGCAGGGAGAGTAAGCAGGAGGAGGAATTTAGGCTTGAGGAAGAAAGAAAAAAGGAGAAAGGAAAAAAAAGAAACATAGGGAGATGTCAGGGGCTAGCCAGCCAGACACAGAGAAAGCAGGAAGGTAGGGCATACAGAATGAAAGAAAGGTAAAAGGTCACACAAGATGTAGATGAACAGAAACAGGTTAGATTAAGTTAAAAGAGCAAGTGGGACAAGCCTAAGCTAAGGCCGAGCATTCACAATTAATAATAAGTCCCCAAGCCTTTATTTGGGAGCTGGTTGGAAGTCCAAAGAAAATTTCAACTACGGAGAAGAGCCTAATATCCTGGCTAGACACATGCAGATGTTCTCAGGACTTCCTGGGGCAGGGGGAGCTAGCTTACCGCCATGTTGGCTGGCATTAGTAAAAACTACCCAGATTCTCTAGAGTATACACAGAAGCTTTCCCTCGCTCTATTTCCTGAGGAAAGGCATGGTCAGCGAAGCTCACTGGAGGGGTTGGAGGGCTGGCCCAGTGGCTAAGAGAAAAGATGAGAAATGGAAGCCATGCCCCCAGATTCCCGTCTGTCCTCGTCTACCTGACTGCACCTGTCAGGCCAGAACACCAAGCGTCACCGAGGAAGCCGCCGGTGGCAATGCCCTGAGGGGTCTATGGACTAGAGTTCTGTTCTGTCCCACAAAACACAGGGCAGCCTTGGAAGGATGCTGAGCCAGAAGGCAGAACACAAGCCTCTAGAGGACTCCAGGAAACTACAATTTATCAGAGAATAATTACCCAGGCGAACAAGAACTCCTATGAAGTGGGGATGAACACTTACCGTGTCCCCGATCTTCAGACCCTCGCATTTCCGCTGACCAGGGTAGGACACGCCATCCTGGCAGGTGGCAGTGAAGAAGAGATTAAGGTCTTCTGGCTGATCCCAGACTGACAGCTCCACTTTAGACCGGATGCTCTGCACAAAGGGAGAAAACAAAGCCCTCAGTACTCAGTGACAGCTTCAGTGAGGCGCTCTCCACAGTGGCTTTCTCATGGTTTCCTCTAATTCAGGAGGCTCAAGTCAAATTAGAGGCGGGAAGCATCGTATACACCATCTTCATAGACCTGACTTGGGGCCTCCCTCTGGGAGCCTGCAATGGTTGATAAAGGTCCATCTGTCAAATGATAGTATCTCCCTCAAAAGGCTTTTATCCTGCATCCCACTTGCCTCCTCAGAACCACCTCTCACCCCCATCTTTGACTTCAGGTACACAGTTACTGAAATCTAGTCATGCTCTCTCTAGGTTTTGCGCGTATACGTGCACACACAGGCGTGCACACACACTCAGGACAGCACCTGCCTTCCCCCAGGCTAGCTCCTTACTATCCTGCAAAGGCAGCTCATCCAGGACCCACCCTACCTTTTTTCATACTCAAACCCAATCCCTTCCTGGGTGAGGTCATCCTGTGTGAGTCTGAAACTACATTATCAAAGAATCCATGCTTTTCTGTAGACTAGCGTCTCGAGACATTGAGTGAAATAAACACCAAGGAAAACCGATATGTTAAAGCAGAATATAAAAAAGAAAGACTGAAAGTAGCCTGTCATGGGACGGAGCGGGGAGGAACTGGAGTCCGCACACTGCTGGCTGGAGTGGAAGCGGGTTGTAGGCTTTTGGAAAAGCAATAGGTAATGTCTTCTAACACTCAGACCAACCTTAGTCCTAGATTCCCCTGAGGATTATGCACAACAGAAATGTGCAGGCCAGAGAGGCACTGGTAAAAATGCCTACAGCAACTTCAGAGCAAGAATCGGGAAAGCAATCAAAAGCCTACCAATAGCAGAATAGGCTGAAGTAAGCCTCAGTGTGTCTACACAGCAGAGCACCTACAATAGAGAGAATAAATCAAACACAACTGTGTGAACACACACTGAAGCGTACAATGTTGCTGAAAAGAAGCAGACACTGTATTTATTCTCTCATAAGGACACTCTGGTCCACAGAAGATCATATATAATAGTGGCCCCAAGAGATTCGGAGAGCCAGCAATTTCCCGTCACTTAGTACATAACTTCTGTATGCTCAGAGACACAATGGCCACCACTGTTAGAACTGCCTGCGGTATTCAGTATGTGCCAGCCTCACAGGTTTGTGGCCTAGGAGTGAAAGGCAGCAACAGAGAAACGCGTCACGCGGTACAACATTCCACCGTCTAGGTTTGCACATGCTATCCTCTTTGTACAAGGCTGACCTCGCCTGAGGATGTGTCTCTCGGAATGTATCTTTGCTGTCGAGTGTGAAATTCAGAGACAGGCAGAAGTGATGGCTAGCTACCCCTGGGGACAGTGATAGGAGGAGGCCTGCAAGGAACTGCTGGCAATGCCGTTCCACGGCTGTGTTTTCTTCGTGAATTCCTGTTTCTGAAACAGGAGTCTTATTACGTAGTCTAGGCTGGCCGTGAACTCTGTAATCCTCTTGCCACTGGCTCTTGAGTGCTGAAATTACCGGCAAGAGCCAACATGCTCGGCTGTGATCCGCTCTTTTCCCTGGGTGTCACAAACCCACGTATATTTAGTTTATACAAGGTCTGTGGAATGCTTTATACGCCTCTTCGTTTTTAAAATCCTCCCATAACCAGTAGGAAACCTGCTATTGCTGCTCTGCTAAATGATCAGGTTTCACAGTGCCTGTGAAATGTTTATGTTCATATTCGTAAGTAAGCACCGCGCTCAGACTTGGCCGGGAAACTTTCTGCTGCAGGGGACAGCAGACGATTCAGAGTCTCGGGACTGTCCAGGGTGTTGAGAATTACTGACAGCGAGGGCTCAGCCAAGTGAGGCATGCACATCACCCTGCATGTCACCCTGTCACCCCCTCGAGGCTCAGGGGACATCACGGAAGAGGGAGCAGAAGGGAAGTCAGAGGCAGAGGATGGGGAAACGCGCTGTGAAGTGTCTTCTGAACATGACACGGCCATTGGACCCATGAAGCCAAGGCAACTCTGGTTGTCTGTCTGCACAGAACCACACAAACCACAATTCTGGCATAAATGAAGGAGGGGTTCAGCAGATCCCATCCTTAACTGAGGCACTTTTAGCAAAAGATGGTGCAGGGCTAGGGCCAAACAGAAGATTAAAGTACATTACATACATGTATGATATGAAATATCAAGTAATAAAAATATTATGAGTACACACACACACACACACACACACACACACAGCCCTTACCAAAAAAAATCTCTAAGTAATAGCCAAGTGTGATGCCACACACCTTTGATCCCAGCACTTCGGAGAGAGAGGTGGTAGATCTCCATGAGCTGGAGCTAGCCTGGTCTCCATAGCAAGTGCTAGGCCAGCCAGGGCTACATAATGAAACCCTGTATCAAGTCACTATGAAACACGTTGCTTTAGAAACTGAGGCCAAATGATGTAACTGGCTTTATTTAGAAGTCATATTTTATCAAGCCCTTTTTTTTTATAAGTCTGTTTATAATACACACAGCAGGACTCACTTACTCTGGGAGACACAGAGTCAAGCTGCCCCATGAAGAGCAAGCCGAATTGCCGCTACCTCCTCCCACTCCACCCCCTACCCAGGCTCCCTCGCTAACTCCAGCATGTGGTGATAAGCTTGAATACATGAAATATGCAGTTTGCCCAGCAAATTCACAGCTTGCTGAAAACATTCCACAAAAACTTGTCTCTCTCTGCAGCAAACTGTCGAGAAGGCTTCTATGAGTCTAAAAATACTATCCCTCTGAAAGCTGCTTCCTCTCCGAAGTGCCATTCCTTAACTGGCCAAAGGGCGCAAAAGTGCAACTCGACACACACCATCCTCTCCCACTGAATATGATTAACTATTTACGCTGAATATGATTAGCTATTTACGGATCCGCCTTCCCAGGGCACTGTGAGCTCTAAGGACCATTTGCACTCCGGGATGCAGCACAGGGTCTTGCTGAATGGATAGATGGATGGAAAGCATAGATGTTTTTTATCAATGGTTATGTTCAGGGGTTTGGGCCAAACGAAGATTAAATCTTTGATGAAAGGGTATTAGGGCTGGGCTTAAGAGGACTGGGTGCTCTTAAGAGGAAGAGCTCCCAGCACCCACACTGGGTAGCTCAAAACCGTCTGCAACTCCAGGTCCAGGGAAGTTAACCCTTCTTCTGGACTCCCAGGGCATTCATTGACATATGCATTCACATGAAGATACCCATACACAAAGGGGAAAAATGCATACACACATATGCACTGTATTTATTTATATTTATACAGAAGTATAGAGACAGGGCTCGGAAGATGGCTCAGTGGTTGAGAATACTGGTTGCTCTTCCAGAGGTTCAGGTTCAAAAACCACTCAGACCAAATGTCTACCTGTGGTAGACCCAACTGCATGCTATGCTGGCCTCCAGACTTCCTTGGTATCAACCCCTATCTAGACTGCTTCAGTGCCTCATTCCCATATAACCCTGACATGGTGACCATATGCATCATTTGGCTTCTCTCTTGGCCCCTTCTCTGTCCTCCACTCTCTCCTTCTAGTTTCAAGGGATCTGACAGCCTCTTCTGTTCTCCGAGAGCACCAGGCATGCACACGATGAGCCGGCATACAAGTAGGCAAACACACATACACACACACACACACACACACACACACACACACACACACACTAAATTAAAAAATCTTTAAAATAAAGGAGAAAGAGAGCTTTATGTTTTACATGGGCCATAAGTCCCCAGTCTGTGTTCTGTCTGGCTGGTTGCCTCTGGCTTGCCACAGAGCCTCTGGGATCAGAACCTCCCTCATTGTTTCAGGTGCAGGAATTGTGAAGACTCAGCTCAGACCTCTCATTTATGGTAAGAAAACCTGAGGCAGGCAG